CATGATACAACAGTTTAGCATTGATGGACGCAGTGAGGTGAAGTTGACTTGAGGGTTTTGTTTTTTTTTTTAAAGATTTATTTATTTATACAAGCACTAGGTACAGTCAGAAGCATGGGAGGGTAAGAGAATTTACCAGAGCCAGAGTGGGGAGCAGAACAGGGAGATTGACAAAACACACTGCTGAGGGAAGCAGTGGGTGGCAGGAGAGGTCTATGCGCCATGTGGGACCCTCACCCAGCGGCCGGGGATCGAACTGGCACTGCAGAGGCTGCGGGCAGCTTCGCAACCCAGTGCTCAACCACTGCACCACTGGGCAGGCCCTGACTTGAGGGTTTGAAAAAGGTCTGGACCCTATCCATTGTGAAGTTGAGCATTCTCATGTTCACTTAACGGATTGAAGGTCAAGTTCTTGAAACATGGGCCTCCCCGGTGGCGCAGCAGTTGAGCGCTGGGTTGCGAAGCTGCCCGTGGCCTCTGTGGCGCCGGTTTGATCCCCGCTGCTCCCCTGCCACCGGAGGAGGGTCCCACATGGCGCGCAGACCTTTCCTGCCTCCCGCTGCTCCCCTCAGCAGTGTACTTCGGTCCTTCTGCCTGCTCTGCTCCCTGCTCTGGCTCTGGTGAATTCTCTCACCCTCCTGTGCTTCTGACTGTACCCAGTGCATGTATAAACAAAACAAACAAACAAATAAATAAATAAATAAAACATGCCTCTATTTAAAAAAAAAAAGTTCTTGAAACATAATTCTTTGCAAGGGTCACTTTGCTGACAACTGGATAAGGGAATCATGTTGACGGTGGCAACAGGCTGTTGTGGGTAGACAGTTTGTAGACTTTCACAGGGCCTGTTCATTTAAGGAAGTCTGGGCCAGGTGATTGGTGTGGTGGGCAGTGGGGAGTGGTGCAGGCAGTGAATTCCACCCCCCTGGTGGTGCAGGGGTGAAAGCTATCAAAAGACCTGGGCTTGAATCCTATAAAGCTCTTATGTATGGCAGCTTAACTTTTCTAAACTTCTAGATCCCCCTCTGTAAAAATAGTTTTTTAAAATAAAGTTTTGCTTTGAAATAATTTAAAATGGATAGAAAATTTCAAAAATGGTACAGACTCCTTCATCCAGTTTTTAATGTGAACATCTCACGTAACCACTGCATCAAAAACCAGTAAACCAGTGTTACAAAGCTTTATACCACAGATCTTACTATGTTGTTTTGCTAATCTCCCTGGAAGCGGGACCCCCAGTGAGGCCTCAGTGACAGGCTGCAGGCCTGCTGTGACCTGGTCACCTTGGTGCGCTTCCTGGATTTCTGGGCACAGAATTTAGGATCATGTTACTTAAACACACTGTCACTTCCCCCGCCCTAATGATTACTTTACCAATCTGATAGTGGGTTTGTTGAGACTATTGAAGGAATCTATTCAAGAAAGAGGCCGTGGGGCCAATTCTCCGCATGGCCTTTGGCTAGTTTAGTTTATCTGTTACAGGGCAGGGAGAGGTGCACCCCAGAACCCCCAAAACCTGCCTGCTCTAAATGGGTTCTACCATCTGCTGCATCAACACAAAACATATGAGACTTTAAAGAAAAGGAACTTTAATACAATTAGGAAACAATACAGAAAAGGCAAAGAATATGGTTTCTAAATCAAGCACCCAATGTTACCCGTTCCCTTGTGGGCACAAGTCCACCCACGCAGGATTGGTCTAGAGCAAGGCCCCAAAGCCTGCCACAAGTCTAAAGCATCTTCCAGTGGGGACCCACAGAAAAGGATCAGAAACCACCAGACAAGTCTGGAAGGAAAAGAGCAAAATCAAAATCAAGACAAAAACTGCCATGGTCACCTCCCCACGGGTCTCTCACCCACATCTGTGTCACCCAGTCCACGACCAAAAGGCAAACGCAGTTTCTTCACATGTCTCTCCATTCCATGTGCCTTCTCCAGGTCTCCTCCTGGCTCTCCATCCTGCTTCCTTCCTTCTTGAGTATCCTCTGCAGTTTCTTCTCTCTCTGCTCCGCTCCACCCTCCTTTTGGGTGGGGCAGGAAACCTGGAACCTCCCCCTTTCCTGGGGACCACCCTGTTACAGATCCTGAGACCCAGAAAATATACTCACTTCATATCCCTTTCCCACTCACCCCTGGCATGAACCCAGCTGGCTGATGAAGATGCGCCTTCAATGAGCAACCACAAGGAGCCCCAGACTCGGGAAGGCTTGGCTGTCGGGGTACCTTAAGCCGCAAAGACCTGACAGACCACAAAAGGCTTTCGGAGTCGGCAGTCGCCCTGGGGAAACGGGTGGTCAGCAGAGACCCCTGGGTCAGCACCCGAGACGCAGGAGCCCCGCCCTTCGAGAAGGAGCTCGGAGTTCGGAGAGCCAGAAGGGAGTTGAGCCGGCGCCTCTTGGGGGGTTCTCCGCGGGCTGAGCCGGGAGGTGACTCCTGCACCAGCTCTGGCTGTCCTGGGGTCCGGCGCCGGCAGTACCAACCCGGCCGGGAGGCGAGTGCTGCCCACCTGGCCCCAGCACCCGCCCGACCGCGGCGGGGAGCGAGTTACCGGGTACCAGTCCGCCCGGCCAGTGAGGCGGGCGGTGGTTAAGCAGGTGCGCGCGGGTCACCCTGCTGCGCACGGACCCCGTCGCTAAGTCTTAGAAAGAGGTTCTGGCTCCTCAGCTTGGAGACCCCCGCCCACCCTGTGTGGGGGGCCTTCCCTGGCCCATTTCGCGAAGAGTGGCTTCCCTCCCACCCCACCCCACCCGCAGCCTGCCTGCCGCCGGCACCTTCCATCCTCCCCGCTGAACTCGGCCCTCCTGAGCCTGTCCACCTGGCAGACACATCGCTGCACCCAATGTGTCCTTAGTTTTCTCATCTTTAAGGTCACACAGTCCTGATCATAAATAACCACGGAAGGGGAAGGGATAGTGGAGGGAAAATAATTCTTGTCTCAGATACCCACTGCAACAAGGCAGATTGACCCCTTAGCAGAGGAGCCCCTCTCGCCCCAATTTTAACAACGTATTCCTCTTATATGGGTGGGAGAGACTCGGCAAGACTGAGTCACTCACAGAAATGGTCGAAACCACTCTTGACATCTTGGGCTAAAGACAAGGTGTTGGGGAAAGGAAACCAGTTCTAGGCGCTTAGAGAAGAACTGTAAAGGAGGATGGGGTGTTACACAGGTTAAAGTATTACCTCCCCTTGGAGTTTCTACAGGTGTGGTTATCCTCCACTTCCTGGGGCTAACAGAGACACCCTTACAAATGGAGATCACCTCTATAAATGTAAATGCCTTTGATAAATGGATAATTTCTAATTGGTTTCTCAGAGGTTCTCTTTCTTTCTTTCTTAGAACGGGGTACAGGCCAGATGCGCGGGAGGGTGCGAGGATTCACCAGAGACAGAGCGGGGAACAGAACATGCAGACTGACGAAATACACTGCTGAGGAGAGCAGCGGGCGAGACAGGAGATGTTTGCCGTGCTATGTGTGTTGCTCCGCGGCCAGCTTCACAGCGCTGCTCTTAACCGCCTGCGCCATCAGGGAGTACTTCCTTTGTCGTTTCGTAAAAATAAGCAGCTTGGGGGAAAAAAATCAGTGTGCCAAAGAAGCATGTTTTGGGGGTATGATTTGCTCCCCTAGAAGGGAAAGGAGAATTAAGGAACAGGAATATTTGCATGAACTCTGTGCTACATGTTCTATTCACAACCTGGAAAGTGGCAAAAAGTGAGGAGATCTGCCCAAGTCTGTACAGCCCAGAAACAGAATGCACCCCATGTATGGTCCTGTAACCCGGGAAGCTCTGCAATGAGGCCACGCTGAGTGCCATGAAGTCAGGTAGCACCAGTGCTCAAGTTAGCATGGCAATTTCCAGGCTTGTAGACACAGCAAGTCCTGGAATAAGGTCATTTTGATGAGGCATAGGGCTCGGTAAACAGAGTCTTTGGATTACCTCAGAGAAAAGTTTCCCCGGAGTTCCCTTTTCAGTGGCTAGGGCAAGTTTACCCAGGACACAAAGACAGGGGAAGGGTACATTTTACAAGGGCAGGTTTGTCAGGAAAACGAGAAAGAAAAAGAGCCACCTGCATAGTGATGGGCTGGCAGGAGAGCTGTGTCTGGCCTGTGCAGAAATTCTACTCAGAAGTGTTCTTATGTGGAGGGGTTCATTCCTTTGTGGAGTTATCTCCTGTTAATCTATGTGTTATTTCTAGGGTGTGAGGAGGCTGGTTTGTAAGGTCTGGTTGAGTCTCCACAATGACCCTTACTCCCCACCGCTCCTCCTCTGGGCTTTGATACTTCCCATAGCATCTAATGCATGCTATAGCAGTTGGGGCCTAAGGATTGCTCATTTCTGTAGCTGATTTAACAACTATGTTAATCATTTCTACCCCTACCTCCAGTTTCTGGTCTTGTGATACCTTGAACCTAAATTTTCTACTCTTAGCTTCCATCATTTTTCTTATAACTTTGATGAGAAGAAAAAAAAAAAATCCAGCCCCCTTGGAACTGCAAGCACATGGTAGTAAATTCCCTGTTAACTCAGGTCACCAGGCAGAGGTCACCTTGTACACCAGCTTCTTGACCATAAATTAAACCTAGATGAGAATCTTTCATGTTTTCTTCAAGGTAAGTTTTTCACAGGCCTCCCTGGATGAAGGTAAGGACCAGATGCCAGCACCAGTGACGGAGGTAAGATGCTTTCCAAGATGCTTTATTTAGTGGGTTTGATGTAAACTTTTTTTTTTTTTTTTTTTTTTTTTTTTTTTTTTTTTTAAAAAACGTTACCTAGATCCTCTCAGGACATTTCTATGTCAAGGTCACTGAAAAATTCTAAGACATTTTTAACAAAGTCTCTTAGTGGAAGATTTTTTACACTTCATAATAGATTATTATAGTATTGAAATTTATAGTATTGAAACCAGGGAAGGTTCTGTTACCCGGCAGGCACCACAGAAGCCCCAAATCTGCCTGCTCTCAATGGGTTCTGCCACCTGTCACATCAAGACATACTCCAGTGTGTAAGACCTTTAATGGAAAGAAACTTTAATACAACTGCATGCAACAAAGAAAAGACAAAGAATATAGTTTCCAAATCAAGCACCCAAAGTTACCCATCTCCTTGTGGGTAAATGTCCAACCAAACACGGTTGGCCCAAAGCAGGGCCACTGAGGCCCGAAAGCTTGGTACATGTCTAAGGCACCTTCTGGTGGGGACCCATAGGAAAGGGGAAGAAGGGACCAGACAAATCTGGAAGGAAAAGAACAAAATCAAAATCAAGACAAAAGCTGCCATTGTTAACCCCTCACACAGGTCTCTCACCCACATCTGTTTCACCCAGTCCAGGACCAAGAAGCAAGCACAGCTTCTTCCATGTCTCTCTGCAACATGTGCCTCCTCCAGCATTCCTCATTGCTCTCCTTCTCCACTCTCCTTTCCAACTTCCTCTTCCCCTGCTCAGCGCCACCTTCCCTTGGGTGGGGCAGGGAACCTAGAACCTTCCCTTTTCCTGAGGACCCTCTTACAGTCTGTCACAAATTTGGCTTCCAAAGAATGGAGCCAGTTGCCACAGGCGTCAGTATGGAGCCACAGGATTCAGAGTAGTATGAAAGAAGTCAGAGATGTATTAGACAGCAAAGAACAGTTCCCACAGGGGAGGGGTCTTGAGTGAGATACCCAAGGGGTGCTTCTTCAGGCTGCTTTATACACTGTGTTCTTTATGAGGTTCTGGATTTTGACTGGGTCAGATCCTGCTGGGGTCCGATATCAGGCATCAGTTGGGGTCACCTGCTGGAAGAATTCTGCTGGATACTTACCTTACTGTCTGCCTCAGTATCTGGGTTGTTTCTAGCTAGATTTTTCACTTAAAACATATACTTTGGAATATTTAAGCTTCATATAGTTTTTATTTCTCACATCTTAGTGAAAATGTGCCTCATCAAACAGAACAAGTAGAGTAGGATTTACTTTCAGATCCTGAAATCATGGGTCGAGCTTCACCTTGTTGCACGTTCTCTCCACTGTTCTCTAAGATACCAAATCACTCTGGGCTCAGTCTTTCTGGAAGAGAAGAGCAGCCAGCAGCAATGAAGTAAAGTTTTAGGACCTTATTTTTAGCACTCATTCTCTCAGCAGCTTCCACAAGGCCAGTGATTCCTATTTCTGTTAAAAGAGTGCCCCCAAACTCAGTCCCTATCCACTCACCCCAGGAAGGTGCCCCAAATCCATAGCCTATGTGGCAGTAAAATTCTGGTTCTACTACTGTGTCTGCCTCCTCCAAATTTAAAGGTTTTTTTTTTTTCAAGATTTATTTATTTATACATACAAGAACTGGGGTACAAGTCAGAGGTGTAGGGGTGTGAGAGGATTCACCAGAGATAGAGTAGGGAACAGAACAGGCAGATCGACTGAAATATACTGCTGAGGGGAGTAGCAGGAGATAGGAAAGGTCTGCTCTGCCATGTGGGTACCTCCCTGGCCAGGGATTGAACTCTTGCTGCAGTGGCTGTGGTAGCCTCATAGGTTGCGTCTTAACCCCTTGTGCCACCAGGGAGGCCCAGGTTTAAATCCATCTAAATACCTTTCCTCACTGCTGACATCAACTCTTGCCTAATTAACCTTTACTCCACACTTCATCTCTGGACTCTGACCTTGGATGCTTTTCTGGTTATGCGTTCCTGGGATGACCTCTGGACATAGACTACAATGCCACCAGTGCAGAGATGGGAATGCCACCAATGTAGTTGTGATGTATCTCATTTTTAAAGGAACATTCTAAAAAGCACTGTTCTGTAGTGCACTGGTCAAGCCATTCCACTCCTGGTCACACATGGACTTTTGTGGAACATCATTAACTAGGGTTAATGATCAGTTTTTTTTTTTACCTGAATCATCATCTTCTCCTCATAATGTAATTATGGTTACTTCCCAAGAATCATTTTTCCTATCTCCATTATCATATTTATTAGCCTCCCCAAATTCTGGTTCTGTAAGTTTGTCCTCTGCAGGCAATGGAAGAGGCACATTCTGAGTTTCACAAAAAGCACCCAGACACACAGAGATGAAGACAATACACAAAACAGCAAGCCTGAGAATATGAGAGAGAGAGAGAGAGAGAAAGAGAGAGAGAAGAGACATTGGTCTTTCTGTCATTTATCTCACCTCTATCTTTTATTTAGTGTTTTTCACATTTTGCTATTCCTTTAGTATTTGCATATGAATTTTAGTTCTTTACATTAGTAGATTTTCCCTCTTGTGAATTCGCTGATGTTGACTAAGGTGTGAGCTCTGACTAAAGGCTCTCCCACACTCACCGCATTCATAGGGTTTCTCTCCAGTGTGGATTCTCAGGTGTCGAATAAGGTGTGAGCTCACTCTGAAGGTTTTCCCACACTCTCTACATTCATAGGGTTTCTCTCTGGTGTGAATTCTCTTATGCAGAATAAGATGTGAATTCAAGCTGAATGCTCGCCCACATTCTTTGCATTTAAAGGGTCTTTCCCCAGTGTGAATTCTCTGGTGTCTAACCAGATCTGAGCTTCCCCCAAAGCCTTTCCCACACTCATTACATTCATAGGGTCTCTCTCCAGTATGGATTCTCTGATGCCTAATAAGCTTTGAGCTGTGTCTGAAAGCTTTCCCACATTCATTACATTGATGGGTTTTCTCCCCACTGAAAATTGCTGTATGTTTAATAAGGTTTGGGCTTTTGACAGATTTTGCATATTGGTGAATTTTTTCTTCAGCACAAATTTTTTGAGGCTTAATAAAATCTGAATTCCATTTGAAACCTTGGTCATAGGCACTGTGTTTATAAGACTTCTGGTGTATGAGTTCATTTGCATTCAGATTTAAGCTTCTTTCACATCCATCATGACTTATTTCATGTGTTAGTGTATTTTTGTGGGTGAGGATTTTACTAAAACCTCCATCCTGAGCAGATGATGGTCTCCGTGACACTCTTGGTCCTTTTTCCCATTGGTTCTTTATTCTGCCTGTAGATTTACAGATATCTTGAGGCTCAGTGGCCCCTTCTGACACGATTCTTCCTGATATAATTCTCTGTGATTCCATCTTTTCATTAATGTCCAGTTTTGATATGGATCCATTGTTTTCACTCTCGTTATCTAAAAGAACAAATGGAATATTAGAAATATTCTAGGTGGGCCTCCCTGGTGGTGCAAGGGGTTAAGCACAGCACTGTGAAGCTATCCGCAGCCTCTGCAGCATGAGTTTGAACCCCAGCCAGCCAGCCAGGGAGCTACCCACATGGCACAGCAGACCTCTTCTGTCTCGTTCACTGCTCCTCTTAGCAGTGTATTTCAGTAGATATGCCTGTTCTGTTCCCCACTCTGTCTCTGGTGAATCCTCTCAACCCCCATACCTCTGGCCTGTACCCCAGTTCTTGTATGCATAAATAAATAAATCTTTAAAAAAATTATTTAAAAAAATATTTTAGGTAAGGAGCAAAATTCTCTTTTTTAATTGGGTGATAACACACTGGAAAACGTTCTCCACTTCTTATTGGGTGTGAATGACAGGACCACCTACAGCTATACTAAGACTAGTCTGGGGAGTGAGGTTCACTGTCTCCTTTAGTGATGTCACTCCATAGAATACTGCCCCTTACCACATTCCAGTAAAAGCTGGGGTTCTGAAGAAACATGAAGATCCTTGGTGTCCACTGGCTGCAGCTGGTCACTAAGCACTGGTCCAGGAGGTGCTACCTTTTTCCTATATATTTCTCGTCCCTGTCCATGGACAGAAACCTGAGAAAAACACAGTATATTTGGAATTATGAGAGAATCCCTGTTGGAATTAAACATTTTTAAAACCAAGAGAATCTTTTATAGGAATACAAAATGGGGACAGGAAGTTAAGTCCCACTCATCTATAAAAGGCAGCATAGTACCCAGCAGAGAGGAAAGGCAATGAGTGCATACCACCGAATTAAGAGCTCTTGCAAGTCTCACTTCAATCTCAGGCCCTTTTCTGCCATTGGAGTCTTGCACCTCCCATCCCTTGTAATACCTGGTGTGCTGCTTCTTCAGTGCCTCTCTGCAAGTCTTCCAGTATGTTCACTGCCTCCTCTCCACTCTCTGGGTAATGTTCACGCACCCAGGCCTGCAGATTCCCAGGCAGGATGGTCAGGAACTGCTCCAGCACCAGCAGCTCCAGGATCTGCTCTTTGGTGTGGGTCTCAGGCTTCAGCCACTGACAGCACAGCTCCCGGAGCCGGCTCAGTGCGTCATGGGGTCCGGAAGAGTCCTGGTAGCAGAACTGCCTGAAAAGCTGACGGCAAAGCTCCTGCCTAAAAGGATCACTTCTCTGAATGCAAATGTCCTGCCTCCAGACAAAATCTTCCTCTTCTATCTTCACTATCAAAAGTCCTTCATCCTCCTGAAAGTTCTGAACTGCAGCTTTCTTGGATTCTGTCGTCATCTTGGGATAAATATCACAAGTCCCACTTCTTATTTGGTTTTAGGCGTTCCTGTGAGAGATAAAAAAAATTATTATTACTGTCTGGGAAGATAAAAGATCACATAATAGAAACAGTCATTCTCTATTACATACAAAAGTTTACTAGGCATTTACTATATATAAAAGTACTGAATACAGCTTTATGGAATACAATTGTAACATGAGCTCTACCTCAAAGCATCTTAAAATTAAAAAATAAGAATTTAAATTACAATTATTAAATATAAATATAAAGCAAAACAAAAATTTAACTTGCCACAGGCAATTAATTTATATGTACGTCATAAAGAAGATAAGGATCAAAAGTAAAATATGATAGAAGTGCTCCTATAAAGTTGAGATAAAAAAGAGTAAAGTCAGTTGCAATGATCGGGGAAGGTTAATTAAATAACTAACTTCTGAAGGATATCAGACTTCAGTAGTATGTGGGAGAAATAGGAAATTACAAACAAGGAAATAGCTGGATAGCTGGTTAATGGTAAGAACAAAGTAGTGGGAAAGCAAAAAGCCAAGAGGATAATATAAGCTCATTCTAGCAGCGAAGGCCCTACTGCAGCAAGCCTCAAATATCAAACTTGTGAATTCAGTGCTTATCTTTTAGGCACTGGGGAGCCAATCAAAGTTTTGATCAGAAAGACCTGCCTATGGGGGGTTAGTATGTTATTCATCTCTAGGGTGGACTGCAATATGAAGAGACAGATGTAAAGAAAAGCCACTGCACTCATACAAGAGTGAGGAAAATACAGGCTTGGAATGTTATACTTATCTATTCAGAATTTAGAAGTAGAAGTACTTCTAAATCTCATAAATAATAAGATAGGGCAACTTTCCTTGAGAGCAATTTCAGTCAGTGTAAAAAACTCCTCCAAAAGTCTCAGATGGGGTTTTCCTTTTGTTCCAACAGTTACTTCTCTGTCTTCCTAGTATCATGGCTTTGTCCATGTCTTGGACCTTCATGACTATCATATCATTATCCCCAATAAAATGAAATTAATAAATCAGCACTATAACTTGCTTATCAGTCTCCTGTGAGTCTTGCTATTAGGTATCAGTTCCTCAAGTCTTATTGCCATATGGGAATGGTCAATTTTGTTTCAGAAGTGAAAAACTTAACAGGAATTTACAGGTGTCCTAGAGTACCACAGCAAAATGCAAATCAGCCTTTCGGTTCCTCCTCCTAAACATTTCACTAGGCTGACTACTGAGTGTTGCACTGACAAGGGCTTTATTAAGTTTTTAAAAAAGATTTATTTATTTATGCATATGAGAACTGGGGTACAAGCCAGAGATGTGGGGGGTGAGAGGATTCACCAGAGACAGAGAGGGGAGCAGAACAGGCAGACTGACTGAAATACACTGCTGAGGGGAGCAGCGGGCAAGACAGGAGAGGTCTGCTGCGCCATGTGGGTCACCTCCCTGGCGGGGGATCGAACTTGTGCTGCAGTGGCTGTGGACAGTTTCACAGTGCTGCGTCTTAACCCCTTGCGCCACTAGGGAGGCCCCTACTTTATTAAGAATTTTAACACAAAGTGCTGGGCTAGATGCTGTGTGGCAGTGGTATCCAGGAAAGTCTGACTTCGGAGCTGAGTTCACTGCCTAATTATGGGGAAACTTCATCAGAGACAGATTTCTGGCCCTGCCCCTGCAGATGGTGTCTTGGTTAGTATAAGTTATGCCTGGAAAATTTGTATTCTTATGTACAGATGTAATGTATTAAAAAAAAAAAGTTCAGTTTGCAAGGAGCTTGCAAAATAGTGGGGAAGAAATGAGATAAAATACACATGGGTAGAAAACATTTAAATAACAAAACATGTTTCATAAAGATGTTATATGGTAGAGGCACTAACTATCCTAACTCCCTTGAGGTATGGAGGGAATGTGTGCAAATGGTAGCAAATATTTCCTAGAAGATGACAGGGTTTAAACAGCAATAAAGGATGAGAGAAATTCAGGCAAAAGGGAAGAGGTTGAAGAATTAAGGAAGTGGGAATTAACAGTAGAATGAGTAGAATGACAGTGAGACCAGCCCGCAAGGTACAGTAATTGGAGTGACTAAGAATTCCACTATCTCTGATGATAAGGAATTCATCAACCTTACTGAGTTCCCACAGTTTCTAACACATCACATCTGTGAAGACAGCACACATCACTGGCATTATTTTCATTGTTTGACTATTTTTCTTCACTAATAAACTGGTGCTCCATGAGGTTAAGGATCATGCATTATTAATACCTATTCTTAAATTCTCAATTTTGTTTATTGATTAAAAGGAAATTAGGAGAGTTTGAGATGCTTTTTGTTTTGGATTTAAGATGATACTGAGACATTCACTTAGAAAAACATTTCCAACAGATATTAAAATATTTAAATGGAAAAGAGCTAGGTGTGGAAGCACAGATTTAGTCAATATCCATGGAAAAGACAGTTTAAGATAAATATGGGGATGAATTCTTCAAGAGCATGAAATAAAGATCACAGGCTCAGATTGAACCTTATAAAACAGTTTGGGCACAAGTAAGAATAAAATCTAGTAATGATAGAGGAGAAAATTGGGGACTAGAGTGACAGTTTATCAATCATTGAGTATCTTTCAGTTTACTGTGACATTCTATTGCTAAAATGATCTAATTTTACTTTTTGTTATGTTTCTTAGATGTGCTATGTGCTTAGAGGACAGTGTCCTAATATGTTATGGACACTTTCTCACTTAGCATAGGAAGACAGAAAGTAGGCCTACTTAATCAACAATTTGCTTAAACTTTACTGATGTTAAGAAGCATATTAGGGCCTCCCCGGTGGCGCAGCGGTTGAGCGCTGGGTTGCGAAGCTGCCCGCAGCCTCTAAGACGCCAGTTCGATCCCCGGCTGCTCCCCGGCCACCGGAGGAGGGTCCCACATGGCGCGCAGACCTCTCCTGTCGCCCGCTGCCCCCCTCAGCAGTGTACTTCGGTCCTTCTGCCTGCTCTGCTCCCTGCTCTGGCTCTGGTGAATTCTCTCATCCTCCCGCGCTTCTGACTGTACCCAGTGCTTGTATAAATAAATAAATAAATCTTAAAAAAAAAAAAAAGCAGATTATACAACTGTGTTATCTCTGATAGCTGAAAGTCCTGTCTCCAGGTGTTTCATCCATTTAAAACAACAGTCCACAACTCGAAACAGAATGATTTAGTCCTTAAGGGTTTGATATATCCCAGTAATGCTGGCTTTTAAAAGTTTTACTAACTTCAGGTAAGTAAATATTTATTGAGCATCTTAAAATCGTGTTGGGAGAATTACAAAAAGAGCCAAGTAGACATGTAAACAAATACTATGAGAATAGAGAAAGAAGTGATTGTGTTGGGGAAAGGTGGAGAAGAGGTAGGTTGGGAAAACGGGGTTTTCTTGGCGAAAGGAAAGGGATTAAGGGAAATCCCGCTGAGGCCACAGAACATTTTGGGGGTTCAAAGTACATGTTGAGGAAGACTCCCACAGCAGTTTGTGTTTCTCACATGCAGTCACTTTCCACGGTCTTACAACCACTTGCTTTGCTGTTTCCCGTTCCAGAACGAGGGCAGGGGTTTTACTGCAGTCCTGGTATTCAGGTATTAGGAAATCCTGATTGTGTGCCTAAATCTCATGGAATGCGCAGTTCCCCACCTTTCCTACAAAAAGGCGGTTACTCCTCCCTGGAGAAGCAGGAGTCATGGATCTCTGGACAGTCTCTTTTGACCGAAAGCAGCCAATCGGAGACAGAGTCCACCCTGCCCATCTCGGCCGATCACGTCAGGCCACTCCTCTCACCAGTGACCAGGGAATCTGGCAAAGCCGGACCACGCACTGCCCCCGAGCCACGCCCTCTCGGCCCTCAACGATGACGTCACGCGCGGCGGGGGTAACTATGGAAACCCCATCGCCTTGTGAAAAAGCCTGGCGCGAAAGCCCTCCCAAAGACTAACCTAGTTCCGCCTTTCCTCGGGAATCCTCCGAGGCCCCGGCTCCGGGTCGCAACAGGGCTGCTGCAATCCTGAAGAGAACTTGGTCGGAACTAGGCACCTGGAGGGCACTAAAAGCCGGACACCTGGTTCCCCAAACCCGGACTCACCTCTCCCACAGGCTGGTTCCGATCGGACACTTCCGGTGGAAGGACGGCGCGGTACCACGGCTCGACGCTTCCTTCTGTAGAGACTTTTGAGTCTGCGCAAAAGAAGACGGACCGGCTTTGGACTGCAATTCCCAGAAGCCTCCGGGTCTGCTCAGGCGCTTAGACTCCATATCCCAAGTGTCTACGCCTCGGTCCTGAAGGTCTCAGAGCGCGAAGGAGGCGGCGCTTTTCCTCCCCACTGTGGTGGCAAACTTGTCTCCTGCGCCCTTGCGGCCTTGCCCTTGACTTCTGGCTGAGGCTGTGAAATCGAAAATCACTCAACAGGGACGCAGTTGCAAAGCCTTCATGGATTCCAGTAAGCGTTTTTTTCTGAAACCTTGGTTCTTCACCCAACCCGGGTGAGACGCAGTCACACAAAACGGGTTTAATCATCACCCTGGGCTCGAGTTGTCTACACGAGTGACCCTGAGGCGTGAACATTCTTGCCCATTACCCAGTCCATGAGTAATTTACGGTTACTACCACTCTTTCGTTCCCGCCTTGTACCTCCTCATACAACATAACCACGATTACACATTTTTTTTAAATTGCTCCCCTTAAAAAAAGTTCTGTTCAATACATATGCGTGACCAAAGAGTATTCGATTTAATATTTTTAGTCTAAAAGGCATCACGTCATCATAGGTAATCTGATATTTGCGTCTTTTTCACACAACAGAGTTACTCGGGGCTATCCATAGTGTTGAATTAAAGTTAATTTCCATTACTATGTAATATTCCAGTATAACATTGCACGCATCAATTCTAATGATGGGCTGAGACATTATTATTACTTCTGGGCTCCTACAGTAATCTCTTAAGTGGACCCTTTCCTCCTACCCGCGCCCTCAAGCTCTGCTCTCAGTAGAGCAGCCAGAGTATTACATTTAAAATCCGAACAGCGTTCTTTGTGGATTTACACTGGGAAATACAACTGTTGTATGGGCTGGATATTACCTGAACATGACTGAAATGGGTGTAGTACAGGTTGGTATGAATTTGTTGAATACCTTCTTAACACATGAGGCTGGGCATTTATTTGTAAGTTTTAAATGGCCTTGAGCTGACAAGCCCATCTTTCCAACAAGGATGGATGTACCTTCCATTCCAACCAGATGACATGCCTTTTGGGAAACTAGACCATCAAATTCACCAGTAAGGTTTTTCTCTGGCTTAAACAAGACTTGCACAATTAATTCCACTGCTAGTTTTTGGTGTCCAATGTAATGACTCTGTATATAGAGAAATGATCACCATAATAAGCCTAGTTAACATTCATCACCATACATAGTTAGAATTTTTTCCCCATGTGATGAGAACTTTTAAGATTTACTCTTTGCAACTTTGAAATAAGCAATACAATGTGAAGTATAGTCACCATGCTATACATTACGATTCATGCCTTATTTATTTTATAACTGGAAGTTTGTGTATTTGATCCTCTACCCATTTTGCCACCTGCACTCTTGACCTCTGGCAATCTCTGTTTTCTCTATGTATGAGCTCAGTTTTTATTTTTTGATATCACATATAAATGAGATCACACAGTGTTTGTCTTTCTCTGTCTGATTTATTTCACTTAGCAAAATTTGCTCAGGTTCCAGTCATGTTATTACAAATGGCAAGATTTCATTCTTTTTTTTTGCAGAGTGGTTGTACATTATATATGTTTACTGCATTTTACCTGCTCATCCACAGAAGGACACTGAGGTTATATTCCACTGTAAATAATGCTGCAGGGAACAGGCAGGTTAATGTTTTCATTTCCCTAAGGATAACTTCCCCAAAATGGAATTGTTGGATCTTATGGTAGTTCTGTTTTTAATTTTTTTAAAGTTTTATTTATTTATGCATACAAGAACTGGGGTCTAGGCCAGAGGTGTGGGGGGAGAGGGGTGAGAGGATTCACCAGAGAAAGAGTGGGGAGCAGAAGAGGTGGATTGACTGAAATACATTGCTGAGGGGAGCAGCGGGCGAGATAGGACAGGTCTGCTGTGCCATGTGGTTCAGTTCCCTGGCTGGGGATCATGCTGCAGTGACTGGTGACAGCTTGATAATGCCGAGACTTTAACCCATGCGCCACCAGGGAGGCCCTCTATTTTTAATGTTTTGAGGAATATCATACTCTTCACAGTAGTTGCACCATTTTCCATTCTCACCAGCAGTGCACAACGGTTCCCTTTCCTCCATGTCCTTGCCAACACTGGTTATTTCTTATCTTTTTCATACCAGCAGTTCTAATAGGTGTGAGGTGACATCTCATTGTGAGATAGTGATGTTCATTAGTGATGTTGAAATCCTTTTCATGTACTTATTGGCCATCTGTATGTCTTCTTTGGGAAAATGTCTCTTCAGATCCTCTGCCCAATTTTTTATCAGCTTTTTTTTTTAAGCAATTGAGTGGCATGGGTTTTTATTTATTTTTTTTAAAAGGATTTATTTATTTATATAAGAACTGGGGTACAGGCCAGATGCGTGGGAGGTTGAGAGGATTCATCAGAGACAGAGCAGGAAACAGAACAGGCAGACCGATGAAATACACTGCTGAGGGGAGCAGTAGGCACGACAGGAGAGGTCTGTGGCGCCATGTGGGACCCTTGCCGGCAGGCCGGAATCAAACCGGCGCTGCAGAGGCTGCAGACAGCTTCACAGCGCAGCGCTCAACTGCCTGCGCCACCAGGGGAGGCCCTATTTTAATTTTTAAAAAAGATTTATTTATGCATACAAGAGCTGGGTTACAGGTCAGAGATGTGGGGATGGGTGGGGTGTGAAAGGATTCACCAGAGACAGAGTGGAGAACAGAATAGGCAGACTGACTGAAATACACTGCTGAGAGGAGCAGTGGGTGAGTCTGGAGAGGTCTGCTGCGCCATGTGGGTTGCTCCCTGGCTGGCCGGGGATCGCACTCATGCTGCAGAGGCTGAAATTGCTTCATAGTGCAGTGCTTAACCCCTTGTGCCATCAAGGAGGCCTCTTCTTATGTATTTTAGATATTAACACTTTGCAAATATTTTCTCCCACTGCAGATTGCCTTTCTTTGCAGTGCAGAAAAGAGCAACACTGTTGAAGTGATACTGAATGCCGGTCCTGGTTTCCCTTCCCCAATAAAAAGAAACAGGGTTTGAGGAGAAGGAAAGAAATTTGTCAAAAAATTGAGGAGGGCAGGAGACTCCTGTCTGAAAGGCCACCATCCTGTTCTTTGGCAGAGGACGGGGTATTTATCCAGAGTTACAAGAGAGTAGACTAGGCGACTGGGCAAGAGTTAGCATGTCCATCCTTGTGATGCAGGCATTTGGAGGCTTTGGGGAGATTCGGGCTGGCTCCAGCTTCCTTTGCTATTGCCTGGTCAGCAATTTCGATGCTATCTTCTTAGCAATGTTCTTTTTTTCTTGGAATGTAAGAAAACAAGATTGTTTTCTTGTTTATAGAGGGTCTGTTGGAATAGGAAGAAAGGCAAGTCCTTATCTCACTGCATCACTCTTGTTTCAGAAGCATAAGCTCTATCATGCTTATGGGTAGCAGAATATGCTTCCCCCAAATGGAGTTCTTACTTAGTGTTTGTTGACAGTTTCTTCAGAAATGCAATGTTACATGAATTGCTAATCTGTAATGGAAGCAGGTCCTTGGGTAACATTACTTTGTTCAGCTTGGGCAGGGATTGTTTTTTGTCATCGACATTATAAAGAAATGATGTTGAAGGAACTTGTTATTTGAAGAGCTGCTTATCCCCCTTTCACATACTGATTATCTTGAGCTGTACGAATTTTAAAACAGCAGATATAGATGGAGAGAGGTTTTCTCTGAACCCCCTTATCTGTAAAAAGCCAGATACGCCAATGGAATTCAGCTGCTTCAAATGACCCCCAGAATATTGCTTTTATCACTGGAAAGGAGACTAGAAGTTGACACGATACCCAGAAAAATTTTGTCACAAACTATCCTATGTCCCATTTATTCAAAGGACCCATTCATCTTTCCTAAAAATTATTTACTCTTTCCTAAGGAACCAACATTCCTTCTCCCCTTTTCCTAAGATGGTATTTAATTCTGAGTTCTAAAGTCACCTCTTTATTAATTTTTTTCAGGGAATCTCCTATGTCTACATGAAGTATATGTGTTAATAAACTTACATTTGTTTTTCTGTTATTAATCTGTTATTAATCTGTTTAGCTAAGAGCTCAGAAGGAGAGAGGAAAAATTTTTTTCAGCTCCTACATAACCCCTCAGTTTAGTAGCTACTCAGCTGCTAAACCTTTTAGTAGCTCTAAACCTTTTAGTAGCTCTCCATTTCATTCAGGATAAAACCCAAAGTCCTTAAATTGGGCTTTAAGATCCTATATGACCTGTACCCTGTATAGTTATGTAATTTATTCCTGGCCCTTTGCTCATTCTGCTTCCTCTCACCTGGCCTCCTTGTTTTCATAGAATACGTAAGGCATGTTCTCTCTCTTATTCTAGCTGTTTTTTTCCTGCCCCAAATATAGGCTTAGCTGAATTTCTTGCCTTCTTCAAATCTCTGATCAAGTCATATCTCATTTTTAAAGAAGATTTAAATCTTCTTTAAAGATACAAGAACTGGGGTACAGGCCATAGGTGTGGGGAGGGGTGGTGGTAAGAGGATTCACCAGAGACAGAGTGGGGAGCAGAACAGGAAGATCTACTGAAATACACTGCTGAGGGGAGCAGTGGGCGAGACAGGAGAGGTCTGTGCCATGTGGATAGCTCCCTGGCTGGCCGTGGATCGCACTTGTGATGCAGAGGCTGCTGATACCTTCATAGTGCTTAACCCCTTTCACCACCAGGGAGGCCCCTCAAGTCATATCTTCTCAGTGAGGTCTGTCTTGCCCCATCCTGGCCATCTTCCCTGTTCTGCTTTTTTTCTGCAGCATCTTCTAACATGCTTTGTATTTTATTTATCATGTTGATTGTCTCCTATGTTAGAATGGAAGATCTTTAAAGTCATAGTTCTTCTCTGCTTTGTTCATTATGTTATTCAAACACCTAAAATAGGACCTATTTTGAAATATCTCTTCAATAAGTATTTGTCAAATGAATGGGTATTTAGATTATTCTTTTTTTTTTAAAGATTTATTTATTTTTATACAAGAGCTGGGGTACAGGCCAAAGGTGCAGGAGGGTAAGAGGATTCACCAGAGATAGTGGGGAGCAGAACAGGCAGATGACAGAAATACACTGCTGAGAGGAGCAGCGGGCAAGACAGGAGAGGTCTGCCGCACCATGTGGGATTCTTCCCAGCCGGTGGGGATTGAACCTGCACTGCCGAGGCTGCAGACAGCTTCACAGCATGGTGCTCAAC